GTCAAAGCTAGTGGGAGCATAAGTATTATGCTAATAATCATCATGCAAGTGGGAGCATGATAATTATGATAAGTGTTGCAAGTTAGCAATGTTAATTATAGAAAACAAAAAGGTTTCAATTGGGAAAAAGTTGTTTTGATATAATTAAGGGAGAGGAAATTATACTTCATTTCAATTCTAAAAGCTTAGATTGAGGTTTTAATCATCATTAGTCAAGATATATATATATATATATATATATATATATATATATATATGAATTTTATGTTGGAATGACTCAACATAAGGAAATTCGATATATGGGTCCATTATTTGCGTTCTAAAATTCGATTATGATTACGGCATCCCTCTTCATAATCTGAATTCTGAGAACTTGGCAAATAGAAATAGAAATATTATAGCTCAAGACTGGTCTAGTATCATGTCTTTATGAATCGTGTCCCATATGCTTCGGATATAGGATCGATTGCATGTGCTATAATATTCATCTGTTCTAAATTTTTCTAAAATGCCTAGAGCTTTAAGAGGGGAAAGTAGTAGAACTGGATATGACTAATTTGATTAAGCAATTGTCGAGGACAATCTAAGGTTTACCAAAGATTGGTTGCTCAGGGACAGTTGGAAGTATAGTGTTAATTTTGGAATGACCATATTGACATATTCTGAAAAGAGGAAACTCTTGTGCAGAAGTGATAGTCAAAATGAGAATATGGAAATATTCCCATAGGTGGAAGTTATTCATTAAATCTATTTAAGATTAGGAAACTTAATGCAAGAAGAATGTTCAAAGCAATGAACTTTGAATATGAGACTTCGTTTCCATGGAGTTGGTCTCTATTGGAGTACTCTGTAATGTCTGTTGACAAGTCTTTGTGACTTTGTGCATAATCATTACAAGAGGACCAATGCATATAAGTTTAGAATCTAACAGATTTAAGTAAATGGCAGGAATCTGGGATTCGTGCATTTGCGGTAAGGATTTGGGATTGTGAAATGAGTATCATTGGAATTAATGTTCAGTCGATCTATTTCACAAAGTAAAGATCATAGACAAACTTAGTGTGCATACTTGGTGTATGGCATGAATAATGTTTAGACAAACATAATGTACATACTTGGTGTATGGCATGACTAGTGTTTAGAAAACATAGTGTACATGCTCGGAGCATGGGACAACTATAGTTTTAATTCAAGTATAAAGTTGATAGTTTGAAACAGTATACAATGAATAATGTGTAATCAATATGGTGATAAATAAAAGGTGTTTTTATTTATATTCATAAGTTCTGAGACCATAGTTGATTCGATTATTCTTGTGTTTCACTTTGCATGTTTTGACTTCCAGAATAACTAAGTCGCTCTTCCTGAATGACTAAGTTATTCAAACTATCCACAGTCGGTCATATGTTGGAAGTAGATATGAATCAAGACTGTTATGGGTTGTCTTGTAGAGGTCTAAGATGTTGGACAAAGTGGTGCTACAACACTCATGAGTGCTCATAAGTTCTGAGTATTGGATTCAACCCACGCTCACTGGTATCACTTCATGGAATTTATCTCGAGTGATCGTGAGACGGTAATATCATATAAGTCTTCAAACCTAGAGATATGACTTGTTGCCTATGAATTGGTTATTCATTGATCGTACGAAAACACATTGGTAACTCGATGTTATAAAACGTGCCTTTGTGTATGATTCAACAAGTAGTAGAACAAGCATATGAGTCGAAGTTTATCTGTTCCTTCTTGGATTAGAAGCAATATCTGGGCCCCTCGATGATTTTTTTTGACCTATGTACCGGGCCCGGTCAGAACTAAGTTGATTTGTTCAATTAAGTTCTTTGTCAAACAAATCGGGAATCGGGAAACAAACTGCTGGACAATAAGTAAGACATTGTTCCATGTATTTGTCCGGCTGATATCTAGAACAGAGGATTATATAATCACTTATCTAAAATGGCGTATCATCATCATCTCACTTCCGCGAGACCTTAAGAGAGCTACGATTGCTGATTGGTTCATGAAGTTATTCTTGCAGATATAGTTATTAGACTTATCCAAGTGGGAGACTGTTGGATTAGGTGTCTAAGTTCATAACTATTTCTGGGATGTACTTGACCCGGTTGGCATGGTCCATTTGGGTTGCATGGCATCATGCATTTGGATAGACTAAAATGAGAGAAATAACACTTAAGGTTTATTAATATATTATAAGTTCTAATATATTAATAGTATTATTTAATTAGTATTGATCAAGAATTAATTTGGAATTAATTAAGTGATCAAAAGAAGACTAATTAAATATATGGGTTGATTGTGTAAATCACTCATACTTGTATAGTGGACTAATGCTCCATGGATTATCAAGTTGGGCTAAAACCCATAGGATGCTCCATGGATGCTCCATGGTGGTTATAGAACCCATGGGTCATGGAAATGAAAGGTCATGACAATTAGGGTTTACATGGTGTAACCCTAATTGTAACACACTATATAAGGATCCTTATGTTCACCAAAATCGACACTTAAGCAAGAAAGAAGAGGGATAGCCGATTTCAAGTAGTGTGACATTTCTCTCAAAGTTTATTCCAAGTGCATTTGGTGTTGTGTGAGAAATTTGAGGCATCACACTTGAGGTGCTAGGCTCACAAGGTTTTCAAGGAATCCAAACTACTACAAGGTATATTTTCTTGCTAACTTTTATGTTCAAAAGTTCCCCATGTATGCTAGATAGGATTATGAACCTTGGAAAAATCATTTTGCATGTATCTTAGTCAAACATAGATCCAAGGTTTCTAAGGTTGCATGTACACCTTAGGAGTGTTAGAATGCTCAAAACACAACAGTTTCTGCATAATGTAATTATAACTCTGATATATTTTAGTAAATAAAAATGAAAATTTTGGGTTGAAAATCGGGGCGTTACAATTTAGTATCAGAGCCCTGGTTTGAGTGAAAAGGCCTTCCAAATAGTAGAGTGTAGTGACTTGGAAACCTAGTAAAGTCTAGGAAAGAAATAATTAGGTCCTTGAAACACTGTGTGTGTGAAAAGGCCTTCCAAATAGTAGAGTGTAGTGACTTGGAAACCTTGGAGCAATTATTGGATTTAGTATAGATAGGTGGGGAAGGTAGTATGGGCCTGTACTACCGAAATCATAGGATCCATACAAGAATCAAGAAAAACCACAAAGTTGCTAAGGAACTAGAGAGGTTTCAAATACCATTTTTGAGTTAGTTCGATTCATATTAACCTATTTCCGTTACGCCCCAACATGGTGATGATCACGAGAGCATGCAGATCGGGTTCTGGATCTAAAGGGTCAGGACCAAGCGAGATTGAGATATACGATTGGATTGAGGCGGTGGTATCAACAGCTATAAGAGAGATAATTTTGGAAATGTTTGGAACTATCAAAACCGAACTTATCACTCTATTTGATGAATGGTACGCTGTTGTTGCTAGTATCGCCACCGCCGCAACAACAACTGATGTCGTTGCTGCAGCTTCATCAGAAGAAAAAGAGATGCCTTACTGAGAGTTCAATAACACCAAGCCCCCAAAGTTTGATGGTGTTAGAGATCTAAATGTTTCCATGAGGTGGATGTCTGATGTAGAAGTATGCTTCTACACTTGTGCATGTCCGACGAACCTGAAGTTCAGATATACATAGAATCTTCTACGTCTAGGAGCAAAGGGCTGGTGGAACTTTGTCACTAAGAACTATTCACTTGCGGAGAAAAGCGTGGTGACTTGGAAGTAGTTTGTTGAGAAGTTTAAGGCGGAGTATGTTCAACCAGTAGAGAAAGAGAGAGAAAGAGAGAGAGAGAGAGAGAGAGAGAGAGAGAAGAGAGAGAGAGAGATAGAGCGGCTTGCTCAAGAGTATATGTCACTCAAACAGACCATTGAATCGGTGACCGAGATCACCAATATGTCCACTGACAAGGACCTTATTCTGCCCAGAGTATGCCTCATCAGAACAGGTTAAGATGTCTAGATACTTGAGTATGCTCAAAACTGACATCATGAAGGATTAGGGGAAAACTGAAAATGATGAGAGATTTAGAAATTTAGAAGACTTATATCATATGTTAAGACATTCTACTTATCTTATGCTTTTGATGTAATTGGTACACTCTCGCATTTTATCTAACTATTTTGGAACATTAACTTTGGGACCTTATTTCACTCTTAAAATCTCAAATATGAACATCCTTATTTTTAAATGATTACTTCAAATAGCTCATATAAAAAAATGTTTTACAAGGGAAAATATGTTTTACAAGGGCCGACATCAAGTTAGTAATAATTTTTCTTCATATTGGAGATGCTTCAAACTTCTTTTTCTTTGTCAACCTTCTAAGAGGATATTTCTTTAAAGACAAATATTTAGAAAAAAAAGTTTTTATTTGAGTTATGAAATAGACAAAATCGTGTCCTATTACATAGGCACTTTTATCGGTCGTTTTGCTAAATGGACTTGATCCAAAAAAGCAATTTCACAATGGTAAAATAAAGTAATTTTGTAAGGGCTCCATAATTTCATAGTAGTAGTTAGAAATTGTTGATTATATTGAGGTACTAGGTTACAATTCGTGGAAATCATGGGTAAAAAAGAAAAACACTATTGATAATTCTAAATCGTAATGAGTAATCAATAACATGTAAAATTTTATTAATAATAAATTTACAAACAAATTTTTTGATACAAAGTTTGATGTTTTGAATGTAACTGTATCGTTTTTATTTTAAAATAACATTTAAATTAGTTTGAAAATATGAGCAATGTCTTTAAGTGAAGATTAATGATAAATCGTTTTTATTTTAAAATAATATTTAAAATATTTTGAAAAGATGAGCCATGGGCGGCTCAACCAGTTTGGGGGCTCTAAGCGAACCAAAAATTTAGGGCCCTTTGGCCTTATCTATACTACAAATGAACAATCAATAAACTGGAATCAGATTATGGATTAATGGAAATACCTTCGTTGTAAGAGCAAACCTAGTTCCGACATGCATATTGATTTAGCGTACACTCAACTCTGTAATAACAAAGATATATAAAACATACCATTAATCTATATTTTTTTACATAATATGATCATATATACGTAATAAGCAAATAGAAAAAAAGATGTTGCAATTTATAACATCCAACTTTATCTAACCTGCAAAATGGACACTTGGAATCTAGATTTGCAGACTTCAACCCTTCAATGATCAATACACTAGCTGCCAAACAATCACAAGACTTGCAAAAAAATGTGTCCACAACTCAAATAATATGGTTGAAAAACAATGTCCTAAATCATTAATTGTCCATTTTATAAAAGATATAATTGGAATTTGCAGTAATTAACATGTTTATTTTCAAACATATATACTAAGAAAATAGGACAGTGAGATTGTACTCTAGTTTTTCAGAACCTAGAAGTGTCAAAGTCAATAAAGACTCTTCATTCGAGATATTGAGATCATAAGAGAGTTGACCAAAAACCTCATCAGAAGTCAAATTGTCTGAACCTTTTAGATTCATATAGAAAGCTACTAATTCAATCAACCATGGTGATTGCATCACATCCAAGTGTTTTTCTTGTAATTTGGAAATAAGGAAACAAGCACCACAAGAATCTTCGGATACCAAGAGTAAAATGAAGATGAAAAAGGTTCCTGACTCTTAAACTAATATAATGATGTAGGAAACTTACGATGGTAGGATTCATACAGAGGAATCTGATTGAGATCATCATCATGATTTTCATCCCTACGACAATCAATGGAAGCTTTAATATGTCGATGATGCATGTAAAAGTTTGAATCATTCTTGAGCTTCTTGTACTCAAAGTGACGCATGTTGTTCTTTGGATTGAAATCAAGAATCGGAGAATGGAGAAGGAAGATGGAAGAATAGAGAAAGTGATTGAAGGAAGAAGAACACTAGAACATAGGTTGAGTTTTTTGTAAATCACTCGCATTATGTGGAAATTGAATCGTCGCCGGTTTCTTTTGTTGATTATGTTCAAGTCGTGCATATTGTTGCTATTGTTCATTATGCGTAAGAGGCTATGTAACATCCACCAATTTTAAAAACTAGGGCCCTTTACAATTGGGGGCCCTAAGCCCTTGCTTAATTTTCTATATAGTAAAACCGACCCTGAGATGAGCAATGTCTTTAAGTGAAGATTAATGATAAATGATAATGTTATCAGCACACCAAAAGCTAGCCAGAAAACCCTCATTTAAGGAAATTCTTTTTTTCCAAAAAAAACACATACCCACTATCTATCAAAACAACTACAAACCATTTAACCACATCGATTGTCCATCTCTTGAAATCCTATACTATTTTTCCATCTTAGCAATCAAGGGCATATCGATTGTGTATCTCGTGAGAATATTTGAGGGTCACAAACCACAAACTGCAATAACTTGATTACTGCTGCAACAGGAAGACGAAGGCATGGTTCACTTTCAAACAATTATCAAGCAACCTTTGACAGTTGACCAATTACTTCAATATTAGCAAAATACATTTTTTTCTCCCCATGTAGAGCCGATTTTTGCAATTTTGATCCCAAGAGTGTCCTCAATCTCATTTTATTCCCATTCTAAGTAATATTAATATACATATTTAAAGGACAACACATTTAGGAACAATTCTGGTTTCCCGGTCACTTATCCTCACACGCGTAGGTCAATCGGTGCTTTACACATGCGTGTGTCGTCTCTGTTGATCGGTGTTGCTTCAAGTTACCTATTACCCATGGAAGCGATCTTCACCGCCTCCTTCTTCCAATCAACCATCTTTCTCTACTTCTTCTTTCTTCCTTTTCTGTGTTCGATGTTCAAAGGAATACACGAAGGGGTTTCTACTGATTTAAGCCCTAGATTGATTGAATTGTTTAAGTAGGAAAAATACCATTTCTTTTATCTCTGTTTCGATCAACACTCGACTACGACGTCACCGTTGACTACTGCTCCACCGCCGTCTTCACCGATATGCCGACGACATACACACCTGATATCGACGACGTGTATAGCAGAAACAATTTGTTTTGGTGTTTGATTTGGGCTTCCTCGTTCTCTGGTCCAACATCTGTTATAAGGTTCTTCACAAGTTCTACTCAAAATTATCTGTTCATCGAGGTGCGTATACAACTATACTCTGATTATTTTGTTTTCTTTTGTGTTTTTTTTGTTAGCATCGATTTCTTACGGATGGTTAGTAATCAATCGTGCTTTCTTTACTTCACCATATTATATAGTAATTAACCGTGCTTTCTTTAATAATCAACCGAAATTTGTAGTCCATATTTCGTTCTAGACCAAAATAGCAAAAATTATTATGGTTATTAAAAATTGCAAAAAAGTTAGTAATATGACTATATGACCACGATACATGTATCGCTTATTCAAAATCCTCCCTATCTTTCCACCCAAGTAGATGATCTCCACAATAATTCACTTTATATATTAATTTCCTTATTATTCACTTTTCTATCTAGAAAAATTGTACGAGAAAGATTAGATGCAACATGGTTTATATATACTAAATTACTAATATCAAAATATCACAATCAAATGCACCATGTTCCCATCAAAAACATTAAAGAACATGTCTATCAATACTCATCCTTCTACCTATCATCTGAATAAGAATAAAAAATTACAAATTTCTTTTGTAGTAAGTTGCTACATTTAACCTCAATCCAAGTGATAATATTCAAAACATCAGAGTACAAATATATCAAATGCGAAAATCATGTGGGGAGGATGTTGTGCGATCACGTCAGACCCTTCCCTTTCGAGCTAAAAGTACATGAAACCATAAATGTAAACCGTAAGCATAAAGTTTAGTGAGTTCCCTAAAATATCAGATACACAAAACATACAGGTGCCATGGGCTACCCCCATGGTGTAACGCCCGTATATTTGGGCTAGTCAATTTAGAGATAATAAGCGTTAAAATGACTTTTTGATAGAAGATTATTTAGAATAAATAATCTTAACTAAGTTATAGTATATGTCACAAGGGTTCCGTACATATAAAGAACGTTGAAATCCGAGTTATAACGAAGAAGTTATAACATGTCGAAGTTTTACGGCTAAACGGACACGACAGTGAATAACGTAAAAAGTGAATTTTTGATAAATTACTTTTTAGCCTTAGGGATCTAAACAAAAGTCATAGTATACGTTAAACCGATAACGTACATAAAAAGAACGTCCAAAACTGACTTCGTATGAGGAAGTTATGATTTTTCTAAGATTTAGGCTAGCAGTGCACAACCCAAAAATCGAATTTTAGATTGATCGATTTTTAGCCGACCCAACCTAAATGATAATTGAATATCCTATTAATAGGAGTTCAACGATAAAAAGACAGTAGAAAACGAAGTCCGTATGTAGAAATTATGAATTTTAAACGGTCGTTAACAGTGTAATCTTCTCATACTGTTAAATTTAAAATTTGATCGAGAATTAGCCGATGGGGTGAAAAGGAAAGTTGTAGATCCCGTCGCTACCTACGCGTGGATATAAAGAACGTCAAAAATGGAGCTCGTATGCAAAAGTTACAGATGTTAGAAGATAATTAGTTTTTGGAATAACCAGGAGACGACACGTGGCGCGATCTGAGCCACTGCTTCCTCACCACGGCTTGACACCAGATGGTGACACCTAGCCATGAACGCGCAGTTTTCACTAATGCCCTGCATTCGGATCTTGAATTCCGCGCGTTCGCACCGAACTCAGCCTATAAATAGAGGCACAAATCTCCCATTTTCTTCACACCTCTCCACTTCTCTTCTCCCAATTACTCCCAAACTTTCTAAGCTTTTCTCTAACACCTCCTAGGTGTTAGAAGCGAGTCCCAGAGCACTAGAAGGCTCCGATAAGAATAGCTTTCGGCTCGGAAGTTCTGCCCCCGCAGAGCTCGGTTCCTAGTCAAACCTCCTAGTAAGTGAGTTATGTCTACCCTACTTTAAGTATAGCTTATATTTAAGTTCAATATCGTTATTATGAACTTATAAACAATATATATATATATATATATATATATATATATATTAAAATATAATATACAAAGTGTTATTATAATATCTTTTAACTACTCGCGGTACGGGGAATCTGGTTTGAAGGGCCGCATAGGGCTTTTGGATTTTAAAAGTGTTATAAAGCCAAAATGGTCATGCCCTATGGTGTTTCATATCTGGCCCCTGACTGTATATAGTAATTTAAAAGTACTATTTAAAACTTATAAAATAATAATGCTCGTAAATAGTCGCAATAAATATTAGACTAAAATCTAGCGGTAATGATACTAGGTTTCGCCGAAGGAAAATAGAATTGTTAGAAGCGAAGCGTTGCCTGAGTTTGGAATCATTACTTTAACAAGTGAGCACATAGTTACTTTCATCTTACACATAGATATGAATTATTTAATATAAATTACGTGCTACGTGTGCATATTATCTGTGTTCTTGATATCTATGTTGGTTGAACAAAATATACATGTTTTATTTGATTTAAATTGTATATGTATTTTATACCTATAAAAATATTGGGTAAAGATGGGTAGATGAATGATGAGAGATGAAAGATGATATAGTATGATGAAAGATAGGACGTCATAGTATGACAAAAGAAGTAGGAAAAGATAGAATGCCACGACTTTGGAATTATCATTTTACCAACGATGTAGTCACTTAGCAAAGTATAGGTGAACATTGGCAGCTATGGACTTAGTGACTTATATATGAACGCTGGAAGCTATGGACTTAGTGTCTGATAGATAAACCCTGGCAGCTATGGACTTAGTGCCAAATAGATAAACCCAAACAGCTATGGACTTAGTGTCTTACAAATGAACATTGGCAACTATGGACTTAGTTCCTTACAAATGAACATTGGCAGCTATGGAATTAGTTCCTTACAAATGAACATTGGAAGCTATGGACTTAGCGCCTTACAAATGAACATTGACAACTATGGACTTAGTGCCTTACAGATGAACGTTGGCAACTATGGATTTAGTGCCCTATAAATGGATATTGACAGCTATGGACTTAGTGCCTAACAAATAACCTCGGCAGCTATGAACTTAGTGCATGTTATACAAACCTTGGCAACGATGGACTTCATGCCTATTCCTTAGGAGAATCCTTAGGAATGAATGAGTGAATGATAAATGATTCTTAGGGTAGATCCTTAAGAACTAAAGAAGCTAATGGTGATAGGTAAATGGGTTAAATGTTTGATGATGAAACATAATAACTTTATTATTATGGGTTGAAAACCCTATGTACTCACCAGGTTTCCCAACCTGAACCACTCAGTTTGTTTGTATCACAGGTGTCGATACGAAGCTACATTACACTGAAAGATTAAAGGAGATGTAGATCACTAGTGTATATGAATGTAAGGTCTGTTTATGCTTATGTTTCTATATTGATGATGACATCCTAAAGATTTAATATAAACAAAATACATTTATTTGGAAATGCTTTGATAATATATTTATCATGTTTTTCTGGGAACAAATTCCGCAATATTACTCTTTAAAATGAATACTCTAATTTTCAAATAAGCACAAATAAAATTTTTAAAATGATCGCGAATTTGGGGATGTCACACATGGTCTTTCCTTGCAATGCCGATGACCAAATCTCGGTCTTACATACAGGTGACATGGGCTACCCCCATGGTCTTTCCTTGCAAAGTCGAGGGCCAGATCCCGATCTTACTTACAAGTGTCATGCGCTACCCCCATGGTCTTTTGCAAAGCCGGGGCTAGATCCCGGTCTTACATACAAGTGTCAGGGGCCAGATCCTGGTCTTTCATACAAATGCCA